GCCTTCGGAACCCAAAATGCCGGGTGGGCTCAGGTGGGGGCCGCTTTTCGGGTCCGGAGTTGGACGGAGCCCTCGGCGGCTCCTGCTTCCCGCCAGGAATGTTCTCGGGGCTCCCTGGGCAGTCCCAGCTGGGCAGGGAACGCGGGCCGGGAGGAGGCCGGAGCGACAGAGAGTGACCCAGCCCTGCTTGGGCTTCCTATTGCCAGGGGATGGATGAGCTGTGCCCTGCACTGCCCTGCCGGGGCTCCCGGCGCTCCGGAGTGTCCGGAGCTCAGGCAGTCCCGCCCGCAGCCGCAGGACTCCCAGCACAGCCCGTGGCAGCCGGGATGGAGCAGCCCCGGGCCAGCGCTTCCATCGGGCACAAGACGGATTTGTCTCCCGAGCAGGGCTCGTCCACCAAACGCACATCCGAGGGGGGGGGAACCGGCCACGGGCACCGGGGTGGGCACGGGGAAAGGGCTGCCCGCGGCTCCTCAGCCGGGGGTTGCTCTGAACGGGCACCCTGAGATGCCTCACCCTGGACACGCCCCAGCGCCAGCCCAGGAGGACCCAAAGAATCCAGCTGGCACTCGGCAGTGTCGGCACGGCGGGGCTGCAGAGCAGCGCGGGCAGCCATTCCCAGGGCCCACCTCCCAGAGCTCCCCCGCGCCCCCCACGTGTGTCCCGCCCACCCCAATTGCCCAGTCCAATTCCTGCCCAAGGCCTGACTGGCCCAGGACAAACCCTCTGGCAGGCAGTGGTTTTGTTCCCTCTCATGGTCAGTGCCCCATGTGTCCCTGTGGGCAGTGCCAGGCTGGGGACAGGCACACGCAGCTGGCAGCACTCTCTGCCCCAAAGACACTTCTGGCCTCCTTGGCAAACTGCCTCTGACACTTGGTTTTCTCCAGCAGAAATTAAGGAATTGCTCACGGCAGTTTGGAGATGAAGTTATCCCAAAGGGAAGGAAAGAACAAATATTCCTGTCAGAGCCCTGGGGATCTGCTGGGCTGAATTGGGAAGGGCACATTTTCTGCAGAGCAAATACAGGACAACCTCAAACACAAAGCCCAGACTGTCCAGTGGGGTGTGAAAGCACCACTGGGACAAACCTCCACTCTCCTGATTCTTTTCAGGGGCTGCTCCAACCCAGCTCTGAAGCTGCCAAGCCCAAACTGTCCCCAGCGCTCTGGAACAACAGGATCTTCCCAGGGATGATGCATTGGAAGCACAGCCCTCATTCTCACCCTCCACACGCTCCCAGGCTCACCCCAAATTCAGGACAAGGGGCCAAAGGCCACTCGGGCCGGGGCTCCCTCTGTCTCTGCGGGCTCAGGGACTGCAGCCACCAGGGCCCTCCAGCACGGACAGCCTGGACCCAGAGCAGATCCCTGGGCATTAGCAGCGTCCTGGGCATCCCTGGAGACAGAAACCATCAGCCTCTGGGCTAGCACTTCATTGCCAGCACACACAGCCTGCCACATTTAGGGGGGCAGCTCTCGGACCACAGAGCCAGTCTGACCCAGTTCTCCTGGGCACCAACACGGACCCCACAAACCCCCAGGAATGGGAATGTTCTGCTGCTTTGACAAACTTCAGCCCAGCTTTGCAAACCTCAGTCCCTGCAGCTCCTGCTCTCCAGGGCCCCTTCAGGGCTGGCTCCAGTTCCCTGGAGAACCTGCCCCAGCCCCACTCTGGGCCAGCCTGAGCAGAAGCCACTGGGCTGCCCAAGGAAGAACCCTCCCCTGGCTGCTGCAGCTGGAGGGAGATCCAGCTCCAATGGAATGCCGGGAACAGCCTCCCAGATGGTCTCTCCCCAGCCCTTGGCAGTGGCTCAGGATGGCAGCAGCTCCAGTGCCAGCTGGGTCCCTGCACGAGTCCTTGTCCCAGCCCTGCCACACGGACACCCACGGGAGACACCCACGGGCACACAGGCCTTGCTTGCACAATTCCTCACCCACAGCTGAGGGAAAGCCACACAATGTCAAGAAATAACCTGTGCTGAGAGCACTCATCACTCCAGTCCATCAGGACTTGGAGGCAGTTGGGTAGGCAACAGACCCAAATTCTAATCCTACCTCTAAATTTCTACACAGGCTCTCTTAGAAAGATCCTGGACGGGAACTCAGACAACAGAACCCAAACACTGCACAAGCAATAGCAGAAGGTTTGCCAGGAAGAACAGAAGTTCCTTGTTTTCCTTAACACCCTGGGACTGTAGGACCCAATCCTTACAACCAAGTCACACCAGAGATGGGATTAATACTTAAACCTCTCCCCCATGGGTCTGTCTCAGAGAACTGGGCCAGCCCTGAGCTACTCCCAGGTGCCAGCAGTGCTTTGGGGAGGGGCAGGACAACACCCCACTTCTGCTCGGAAACATTCCAGATGAGGAAAAGCCACTTCCCTTCTCTCTCTCTGACCCAGAACCAAAGCAGTCCTGCGGGACAACACGGACTATGCACGGAAGGCCCGAGTCAGTGGGGGGAAAAACCCTAAACAAACCAAACCACCCCAAATTTCAAGATAAAAACAGGCTGCTTCCTTAACAGGAGCACACCAAACTCATTGAAGCCAGAGAGGAAATTACAAACAAACAAACAAAAGACCCAAAAAGATGCTTTGCACTGATACACTCTCTGGTTGATCATTCCAAAGGAAATTCTCCACAGATCAGAAGCAAGTACCAATACTTTGTCCTCGATTGAAAATTAATGACTTGAGGGGCTGGACATGTCCAGTGAGGGTTCAGGGTCTGGTGGGTCCTTTATGGCTGATCCTGACCGGCCCAGGCCAAACCCAACCACCCCCCTGGCTGCTCCATCCCAGACCTGGGGGCAACATTCAGACAGTTTGGAAATACTGCCCTTCCCTGCTGCTCCCTCCTTCCTTACACATCCAGTGCCCAGGGAGCAAATGCCAACACCAGGAGGAGAGAAAGGTGTCCCTGTGACTTACCCCACCCCACGGGCAGCACCAGGAGCCCCCAGCCCGGCCGGCGGGGCTGCAGCCTCTTGCCTTTGGCTGCTCCCAGCCCAGGGCACTTGGCAGAGCTGGGCTGGATCAGGGCTTTGGCCTGGCCTGGAAGAGAGGAGAACAAGGCAATTAAGGGCACTGGGCAAGTCAAAGGCTCCTGCCCTTCACCCTTCTGTTCAGTTGCTCACTAGAGTTTTAACCATGAAAAATCCAGGGGGGACAACAAATGAAACGTGGCCTTTTCCAGCATTTTTATTCCTACCTGTTTCAGGCACTAAAAGGAGGCTCATCTTGCATTCCTTGCCCCATTTGAACAGAACCCTTTTCATTCCAAACCCCCCTTGGGAGTCAGTCAATCCTCTGCCATTGGACTTTGGACAGAGACACCTGGGACGATGGAGCCCAGGAAATGAGGGAGAGAAACCTGACAGGGAAAGGATTCGAGGCACTCCAGAACTCAGAAATGTGTTCATGCCTTGCCAGCCCACCCCAATTCTGTGCCACCCACCTGAGCTGGGCAGGTGAGGCCAAGGCTCCCCTTCCTGCTGCCAATCACTGTCCCAGCACACGGACCCCCGTGCTGGGCAGCACTTGGAAAAACTTGGGAAAGGCAAAAGGAAAATGGCACTGCCTGTCAGAAAACATGTCTGTGAACAAACCTTCTGGACAAATGTAATCCCATCCCTCTGCTCCAATAAACCCAGGGCAGGCAGGTCTCTCCAGCCCAGGGAGAACAGGAAGGAGAACTGCAGGAACACAGGCAGGCACGGGCAGCTCTTGGCACTGATTCCCTGCAGACCTCTCTGCACTTGGGGCTCTTGGCACCTCATTTTTAAAGAATTGGGGGGCAGCAGCCCAGGAATGCCCCTCAAAAACAGGGGCCTGGGCAGCTGGAGATTAGAGGAGGGGAGTTGTGAGGGGAGACACGGAGAGAGAACAGGACCGGGGGTTGTTTGGGAACAGGCTGTGTGTCCAGCAGGGAGGGGAACTGGAAACACGGGAGGCTGGAGGGAGGCAGGGGGGGAGCACGGGCCTGCCTTGGATGGATCCTTTTTCCCTTGGCTCAGGGGCCTCAGCTCCACCCTGTCTGAGAGCAGCAGGGAACTGCTGCAGGGGAAGAGTTCCTTTAGGCACAAGGCAGTGATGCAGCCACTGGAGCAGGGGAGAGGAACTGACACCAAAATGACACAGTCACCACTGAAAGGGACTTTATTGAGCTGCAACACAAACACCTTCACAGCAGGCCAGGGCAAGGGGTGCCCACAGCACCACCAACACAGCAGCTGGGCGTGCAGGAACACCATCTACTCAAGTTATGGAGCCAGGGGCTGACAGTTGGGATCCATCCGAAAGATGCACTCAGGCAGCAGGGCCAAGTCCTGCCCAGTCACTGCAGACAGTTCAGCCCCAGCAGCAGTGGCATTTTCTGCCTCTCCCTCCACTATCATTTGGGACCCAACAGTTCAATGCTGGGGAATTTTAGCTTCATCAATGTTTTACAAAGTTGTGCTTCCTGAGAACTGGTGCATTTTTGAGTATTCCTGACTCTTCCAGGGCTGCACTTGCCAGGATCCTTTGGGCCTGGTGTTTTGCTGACAGACAGGGCACTCCAGGAAACAACTTCCCCCCACTCATGGAATAATAGGAACAGCTTAAACAAACCCACTCCAACACCTGGGACACAGATTTAGGGGATACAAAAGGAAATGAGCAAGGCATCCCCTCCTGACTGCCCCAGAGACAGAACTGTGGCTCAGCAGAAATGCCTCCCCCACGGCCCCCTCCGCTCCCCCCCAGCCCACACGGCAGCCCCGGGGCAGCCGATCCCGCAGGCTCCGGCCCCGGGACAATTCCTGCGGGTGCCTCCACCCCAGGGGAGGCTGCGGGGCGGCTCCAAGGGGGTCCCGCTGGCCAGGCTGTGCCCAACAAAGCCGGCTTTAGGCCAGGCCTGGCACTGTGGGGCCGTGGGCACGGGCAGGTTCCGTGAGCTCCCCGTTGGCCACCCCTGGAGCGCTGGGCAGGCGCCCCGGCGGGGCCAAGGCTGGAGGGCACGGAACAGCTGCACACACCTTGGCTGCCTTGGCCCAGCACACACCCACTGCACCTGCAGCCTTTAGCCAGGGCCCCTGAGCACACCCAGCCCTTACCCTGCTCCTCAGGGCCAGCAGCCCCGGGGCTCCATTCTCAGGGAACTTCTCATCCTTTCCTTCGGTCCTTTGATCCCTGGGCAGGGCAGAGACACGGGAGAAACAACTTCTTAGAATTGATCCCAGAGACAACAACTGCATATTTTTCATAAAATCAGTATAATTACTGATTTAACCAGGGGATGGATTAAAGTGTTCACAAACTTTGTAGCAGATGGTGAGAATCCTGTAAATATGTCCCACCAGTGGTGAGCAGGGACTTGTTCTACCTGATGCCCAAAGGTCACTAATTGACCCCTATAGTTACTGTTTGCATTTGGTGATCAAGTCTTATTATTGCCCTGCAAATTTGAAATTTGTGTTTACATCCAAAGAAACCCCTGGTTTACTTACATTGAAGTGGGTTATTTTTCCAGCACGATATCAGTTGGTGCACTGCAGCAATTCAGGAGACAAAATCCAGTTAATTTTTGCAGTCCAGGATGTGAATACAGCCCTCCAGAGCAGTTCACTGGTACTCATTAAGTCCTTCTGTGCCTCATTTCTTTGTAGTACAATATACACACCATGTCATGTGCACTCAGCCCAGTTCCTAAGTTACTGGTGTTCCCCTGTGCACAACAATTACATCTTGGGGAACCATTAGAGAGCTGCCCAAACTCCCCATCACATTCTGGAGTGAAAGGGGGGGTAAATACAGTGGGCATCCCTTGTGCTCCTAAATTCAGCACTCGGGATACACCTGGCCCAGCTCTTTGCCATTGGTTACCAAACAATTCCATGTCTCCACTGCCTACAAATCCAATACCAGCTCCTGTTCCTCCCAGCCCCGTGTCCCCCCAGCCTCGCTGCCTGGGCCAAGATGGGAGCACTGGAATCAGAGTGGGGAAAGGAATTCTGTTATCCTGATGATGTTGGGCTGCAGGACACAGGCAGCAGGTACCCAACAGTTGGACCAATACTCGCCTCGGGAGGATGATGCCCAACTGTGCCATCCCCTGCCCAAGCTGATCCCTTTGCTCTTTTGGCAGCACTGACCCAGAACAGCCCAGCAGGCAGAGCCCAGGGCACGGCCCTGCTGCTGTGACACTGTGGCTGGGACTGGCACCGCTCACCCAGGGGGACAACGATGCCAGGGAGACCCCCCGGAGCCAGCACCATAAGGGAAACTCCAGCCCTGCATGGCCACAGTGCTCCCAGCCCCTGGAATCACATCCATCCAATCCCACCGAGGGCACCAACAGCCGCCCCCACAATGAGCCCGACAGCCCCCGGCCCTGCCAGAGAGTGCCCCGGGCACAAAGGGAGACTGACCCCTGGGCAAGGGCCACTTGCTTCCCGGGTCACCTTGGCCTGGGGGCCTGTTTGGGAGCTGCTTTTCCATCTCCATCCAAGTCAAACCAAGTCACCCCACCCAGGCACCTTTTCCAGGGCACTGCCCGGGCCAACAGCATCGCCCAGAGGGACCACAAGGGCTCTGAGGATGGCCAGGATCCACAGTTTCTGTAAGATATCAAGCTACAACATGGCAATATCATTCCCTCCACTAACATTTATTCACACAAACATATTCCCATTTTCCTTGTCTGCATTTAATCACTAATCCCGTGATGGTGGCACTTGGGAGCCAAGTAGCCAAACCACTGCCAACTGACCCCAAATCCCTACAAACCTGACACTGCCCTAGTTCTTCCTGTTTCATTCCCACAGGTACAGTGTCTCACTCAGCACATGGACTACTTTTGCCTCCCCCCTTTGTGACTTCAAACTCCCTCTGGCACGGGTTATAAGCTCCTGCTTTCCCAAAGTGCTTCCCACTGACAGATGGGGCTGACCCAGCAGTGAGCCATGCATGCTCCCCCTCTGCTCCCAGCACTTGCTCTGGGGCTTTTCCCCATTTCCCAGTGATTTGTGCTCACTGTCCAGGGGATCTACACTTGTTGCTTCAACCACAGGGCCGGTGGCAACTCCCTCCCGAGGCCTCGCTCCTGCCCCGGCCCTGCTCTGGCTCTGGCTTGGATCCACCATCTCCAGTCCATGGTGCTGCCTTCCTGAGCAGGGCCTGGCCTGGGCACCCTGGAGGAGCTTTGTACCCACGGCCTTCTGGGCATTTCAGGCCCTCTTATCATTTGTTGAGTTGCCACTAAAGCCCAAGAACATACTCAGAGCCACTTCTCCAACGGGGGCTACCTTGGGCTGGCTTCCAGTAACTTCCTATTCCCAAATCCTAAGGGCACTGTAACAGTTCATTAGGATACATGCCCAGAATAAAGACAAGTGCCACAAACATTCAAACACACAAAATACCTTTATTGCAGTGAGAATAATAATAATAATAATAATAATAATAATAATAAACTTAGCAAAGAGAATCAAAAGTTAATAAAGGATACGAGTGAACTGCCTTATTGTGTGGCATTAAAACAAATACTAAGAACAGCATTCAATACAGTATAATACTAACTAGTAAAAAGGGAGTTAAAGGGATACCAAAAAGGATCTTAACACAATATTATGGATAACTATTAACACGATATTTGGTTAGTAAAAGGGGAAATTAAAGGGGAAATATTATGAACACTAAATAAAGGGTATTAAAGGAACACTGAAGGATATTTAAAGCCTTCTTTCTCTGTTGCCTCCTCTCACTAACCCGTGCCCACCCCCCAGCCAGGCAGGGCTGTCAGGATGTGCAGCAGCTGGTCGGTGCCCATCCCTTGGCGGGCGTCCCCGCGGAGCAGCACAGGCTCGGTGGCAGGATGAGGATCGCTCAGCTCAGCAGTCCTGACAGCCCATTTGATCAGCTCCACCTTACACCACGTGGGGCCAGGACGCAGTGTAAGGGGAGGCCTGAATGGCAGCCAAACCCCGCCTGAGCATTGCCTGATGGCAACAGTCTGGGCCTGCCCTACTTGGAGGGCAAGGGGCCAGCGACCCCTGCCCACATCATCCTCCTCTCACCATCATCCTTCTCACCCCTGGCTATGACCTCTAACATTGTGTTTCAAGGGTAGATGTACCTACCTTGCAAGATGGAGCAGAACCAAGGAAGAACTCAGCTCTGGTAACAGGGGATATCAGGCTGACTTGCTGAAAAGCACAATGGACCTTACAATTAGCTTGTGCCATGAAGTCAAATTGTACCACACTCTAGCTGGTTTCACATCCTAATATGATTTCTTTCTCACACCTCTATGCTCCATTGATCATCTAATTCAAAAGTACCCCCCTTACACTACCCTACTTCTGCCAGAGGCTCCAATTGGCATCATTATCACTGGCAGGAACCTTCAGTCCCCCCTCTCCAGCTCATATTGGCCACAGGTCCAGAGCCTGTTGAATTGCTCCCTGAGCTGGTTCCAACCCTCCCTGCTGCTCATTTCCCACTCAAACTCACAGATCTGTCCTGGGACTTCATGGCCCAGGCCAAGGATTGGTCCCAAAGGAGGACCTTGTTGTCACCAAAAGCCAAACCAACCAATAAACTGCTGGGCTGCCACCTTGCTCTGGGGGTGACAGAGCCTGAAGTCTCCTGCCTAGTCCTGGGCAATACTTCCTGGGGACCACAGCACCACTGAGTTCCTAAAAATATCACAGCTTGGGCAGGTGCTTGGATTTTGTCTGGATTAACTCCCCCCTTCCTTTCCAGGTGCTGCCCTACTCATTGTAATGGTGCTTGTACTCCCTGAGCCATTCCCTCCCCCATCCAACCATCCCTTGTGCCCTCTCTGACAAGGACAGTGGGTCCAGGTGTTCTGCCACGCTCCCAGGGCACAGGGGGGGACTGTGGAGCCACCCTCGAGGGGGGAAACGTGCCCTGCCTGCCCTGCCCAGGGAAAGGGAACTGCCCCAGTGCTCCCCAGCACAAGGCACCCTTGGAAATATCCACTGCAATGGGACACTCAGGGACAGCAACAAGCACTGCACGAGGCTGCTCTGGCACAGGGCCAATTTTAGCCTCAGCTTTTCTCTGGACCACTTCACTTTGTTTGCCACCTCATCCTGCAGTCAGAACTTGCTGTCCTTGCAACCTTTCAGGGTGACCATAAATGACAGAGGCCTCTGCTCCAGCACCCACAAGGGCCTGATCCATCTGACAGGATCCATTTTTCCAGGGAATTCAAAGCTCCACCTGAGGACTAGGGTCTTTTCTCACCCATCCCTGTGCTGCAGCTTGGCCTCCATCTCCCTGTGCTTTCAGTTCCCTGCATGGTTGAACACTGGCAGCCCTGGCCCTGGGCGGAGCTCGGCATCCTGATCCCATCCCTCCTGGCCCCCGGAACCGCTGACTCAGCAATGGGGGGCCCTCCATTGCCAAGGGCACGGGCCCGGCGGGGCTCACGGGGGGAGCAGGAGGGCGAAGGCTCCAGCCCTGCTGCTACAACCTTCCACCACTACAGCCAACAGAGGAGCCTCTCCAGCCCTGCCTCCCAAGGCATCCTCAACAAACCCAGCCCAGCTCCACAGGACAAACTGCTCCCTGTCTGCCCAGGCCAGTCTAATCCCAGAGGCTCCCAGGTCATGCAGGACAACTGCCCAGGGGATGAGAGACTCCAGTCCATCTCTTCCTAGCACAGGTTTGGGTGAGTTTGGCAAAGAGGGAAACTGAAGAATTACCCAATGTTTTCCCAGCCACAAGAAGGCCTCATTTCTAAAGGCAGGGGGATCTTGCCTGTGTCCCAGACTGGTCCGAGGATCTGAGGCCCTTCCCGAGAAAATCTCGGTGCCGGCGTGAAGGGCCAGAGATCCCTTGGAGCCACGGGAGAGCAGGCACAGAGTCCCTCCTGGGGGGCAATTTGCCTGCCTGAACTCAGCTCTTCAAAGAAGCCTCTAAGACTCATCTGGTGAGGTTTAGAAGCCAGGCATTCCTTGCTTACAACACCCTGCCATGATCCCAGCCCAACAGGAGTCCTGGCAATCAGCTCCCAAAGGGCACACCCACCCTTAGAAGGTTTCCAAGGGGATTCACTGAGGGCCTTCCCAGGCCTGCTCTGTCTGGAGCCCTCCAAGTCCTCAGTGCCTGCCTGAGGAACCTCAACACAACTCACCTGCTTACACAGCAACTTGGTGCTGCTTGCCTGCTGCCTCACTTCCCTTCTTCCTTCTTTCTTCACCTCCCTTGCTTGGTCCCTTTACATCCCTGGGCTCAGCTCTGTGCACTTTCCAGGCTCCATCCCACTGCAAAAAGGATTAGCCCTTGTTACATCTCAACATGCACATATCATTCCCCATTTTTTCCTGACACTTGTCCTTTAAGCCAGTGTCCCATTACTTAAAGCACAGTTTGACTTCCCAGTGACAACAACAGCTACAGCCCTGAATCCTAACACAGGCTGAGACACAAACACGGATGGGAACTCTGAAGGATCCACTTTGTCCTGCTCACCAACCAAAAGGAGCTTTCTGAACTCAAGAATAACAGACCCCAGGTCCTTTTTCTGCAACTTTACCTGCTATAAATGTGACCCACCAGACCTGCAAAGGCCCTTCCCACTTCACCTGCAGGGCTGGCAGTGCCACCACTGGACACGGCCCCAGTGGCTGGGCAGGAACGGAGGGGCTGGGGCGTCCAATCCATCGGCCCAGGCGGCACCAGGAGTTCCTGCAGTTCCTGAGGGGAGAGCCTCAAGCCAACAAAGGGTTAGGGAGAGCATTTGAAACTTCAATATGTAGATCTCCTGGAAGATGGGGAGGTGGACAAGGCCTACTGGGGCAACAAGGACACACTCAAGGCTACCTATTCAAAGGATCTACCAGCACTCAAAAGCTATCACTGTCCTTCTGTCAGGGGGAACTCAGCAAACTCTCTTTGCCAAGAGCCTCCAGGAGGATTTCCAGCTTTTGGGGCTCTTTTTTAACTGTTCTTCACATCACTGCAGCTGGAACTATCACCTGCCCTACAGGGGGAACAGCCCACAAAGTTCACTTGTTCACAAAGTTCACTTGCATTAACACAAAGGGATGCCATTAACACAAAGTCCCTTCTCAGGGGGTCATTGCCTTTCTTTGCCCTCCCCACCAAAGATGCTTCCAACAGTTCTGAGAGGTCTGGCAGACCCAGAGTTCTCCTCAGGGAATGCTTCAGCTGCTTAAAGGCTGCCCTTGCACCATCTAGCCAAGGCAGCAAATGCTTTCAGGTTGTTCTGAAAAGTTGCCATAACAGTCTTACCACACATCCCGAGGGAGCAATGCAGAGTCCAGCCCATCCCACCATTCCCAGCAAGGCAGTTCATGGGCTGTCTGGGGCTCAGGGAGGAGTCACGGGGCTTCTCTTCTTCCTGCCCGATTTCCAGATTTTCTCCTGCAAAAGCAAAGCTTTCTTG